GCTCCATTCTTGAAGAAAGTAAGCGTATGAGGATTTTCACTGTGATTTTTCTAGAAGATAATAGGAAACAGCACAAATCAGGTGTTCCCAGGAGTTGCTACAGAGCCAGAGAAAAACAGGAATGTCATAAGGTACTCTGTGGCTTTTTTCTTTTATGGTGAAATGAGGGTGAAATATTTGGGAAAACTGTTTTTCTGAGAAAGACGAGAGTGAAAAGTAGACATTTCACACAGAAAAGAACTGGGAAAAAAAAAAAGACTACACAGGGAAGGAGAAAAGAAAGGCAAAGGTTCTGAATAAGAAAAGTCATGAAATCCAAGACTCTGATAGTAAAGATCATTAGAGGTCAGATCCAAAACACTGCTAATAAATAGTGTTTTAAGTCATGTAACCCAGTTAAACGAATACAAAGGAGCCTAAAGTAGGAAGGGCAACATTTTACTGAGAAAGATCATCAGCTGAAGAAGTCATTAGGTCCACATGAGCCGCAAAGGCCTGCCTCTTGGACAGCCTTCGTTTTGGCAAGGGTTTGTTTGCTTGTTTGTTTTCCCCCTTCCAACTTAATGAGAAAACTCAAGTTTCAGATAAAGGCTTTAAAGGCTCTGACCCTAATCTTAGTCCTTACGCTTGCATTTCCTTGAGGTATTTGTCTACATTTTTTAAGTTATTTAAGAAGCAATAATGAGCATCAACACAAAGTTCTTCTTGCCACCAGCGGGATTTCAAAGCTCCCCCAGAGATATTATCAAAGTAGTATCATGAGGTTGACAAAGATTTAGATAGGTTGCACTGGTATTTCACACTGAAGAGTGCCATTTGCCAGCAGACTGCCTGCACTCTCACGAGCAACTACGTTACAGCCTGCAGCAAGGCAGTCATCAACTGCCTGGTTTCCCAAGCCAGACAGACTGTCTCCTTCCTTATTACACCACATGTAAAAGCATTGGAAGCACATTGGCTACAGAAAAGTGTACATGGTACTTCCAAAATGCACTGTAAGCTTGCAGTTAATGCAGGAGGGATTTTCCACTTGTTGCCAGAAACCTGAAGTCTGCATTTCATTTCAGATCCAGGCATAGTCCTCAAAAAGAAAGAAACTGGAATTGCAAACAGCATCTTCAAGAAAAAACTTAACGGAAATATTCTCACACATTTGTACATACACTGCAAGAAAAGGCAAAATCATCACAACTCTGTTGAACATCAAAAATTGGCACTGTGCTATGCACATATGGCACCTGACTCAGGCTATGCTTCAAGTCAAGACCCTGGTGCCCACCCACTTCAGAGGTGAAAATAGTTCTCATCCTACACGCACCCTTCTTGAAAAGGTCAAACAACAAAATTCTGCACAGTTCACACTTGTCTTCAAACCCCAAAGCCTAGAAATATTTTAAGATTGTCTAACACACTGCTATGCTCATGTTTCTCCTTAATCCTTTTTACTCAGCCTTGTAAAGTTCTAGGCCAGAGTGAAATTCACCAAGCTGGTTACTCTGACTAGCATTATTCATGCCACTGAGAAGAGCAAGTTTAATGAGCTTGAATTTTCAATCACATTTCACGAGTTTCACCCTGCACAGGCACCATGACTGAGACAATTCTGAGCTTTGTTCAGTGGAGCGAGCAAGAACCGACATTTCCAAAGGACTGTGAAATAAACCTTTGTATTAAAAAGCCCTGGTGTAGGAGGCTTGCTCTAACGATTTCATCCGTTTAATGTGCAACATCTTCAAAAAAGTACAATACAGCATTCAACCCACCTCACAAATTCTGCCATCAGTTTAACTTCTTTAGATTTAAGTCTGCAACTATTTAAACATATTAAAGCACTTCAATGATTAAAGTGCACAGCTAAGATCTATACGAGGAGCAATAATGACATACAGTCATTATCACACTGGCAGTTATTAGCACAAGTCTGCATTAATAACATTGGTTCATTCAAATGTTGTTGGTCTAAGTGGTTTGTTTGTTTGAGTTTTTTTGTTTGTTTGTTTTTTACCTTTCAAGAAGTTGATTACTTTTCCCCATTTCCCTGCATCAAATGGATGTAGTTTCTCCAGTCCCATGAAGGTGATGTTGTAGTCTGGAGAATACACGATAGGCCAGCAAGTTGGTGGAACACCTTCATATAACTCAGTTCTGTGAGGCCTTGAAAAGCAAAAGCCAAACTAATTACCATTTTTAGCCAATTGCTTATGCATCTAAATATTTTTTCACTGAATTCCCAAGCTACAAGTTCTTAGCAATCACAGCTTAACATCAGGAATAGCTCCTGAGGATGCCATTCCCCATAGTTACAGATAGGAGCACCTGTTCACTGCTTTGCGGTTCTTTATACACAACTCACTTCCCAGCAGCACAGTCAAGACACTCAAAAAAAAAACAGTGAGGAAAAAGAAAGAAAGGACTAAAGAATGTACTGCCTGTGAATTATGCATACATAGTTCACTGCCGACATGAATTAATGGACACATTTGCTTCTCTCTGACAGCCTTCCATGTTCATCACGCTCTGCCTTACAACATAACTTCAACCAGAGACGTTTCCAGGCTCACGTGCAAACACAGCGAGCTTTCAGACAGGACACACGCGCAGTCAGACCCGGTGCTCCCACCCCAACAGCTCCCTGCAGCACAGCGTTCACCTGAGAGAGAAACGGCCCGGACTGCAGGAGCCGCCAGGTGCCGGCTCGCGGCTCCGCCCCTCCCGCCGCCAGGCCCCAAAGCCGAGCAGGCCTCCGCCAGGCCCGCGCGCAGCCCACCCCTCAGAGTCGCCCGCCGCCGGCACAGCCCTGCCACGGCGCCGGCTTCGGCCCGCCCGCAGCCCCCGCCCGTACTCACATCCCCGCGCCGGGCCGGGGCGCGCCACGAGGCCGCGCAGGGGAAGGGTCGCCCCGCGGCCCGGCACAGCCAGCCCCGGGCCCCGCCCGCGCGGGCGGAGACAAAGAGGGGCCGGGCCCGGGAGGGCGGGGCGGCGGGCGGCTTCGGGGCGGCGTGCTGGGCCTTCCCTCCTGCCTGAACGTGCAGACTGCATTTCTTATGCAATTGTACGGCTACATCGGCGGCACCGTCACGAGAAACTGCCCATCCATAGCGGCAGTATCCGTCAAGCAGCACACAAAGCACAGCAGCGCTCGGGAGGCGCACGGCGCCTGTGTGAAAGCTGCAGACAAATATCTCGCCTTTCTAAATCTGCCTGCCCCCTTCGGCTGGCCTTCATTTTGATGGATGCCTGCATGTCACCTCAGCACTTATGGAGCAGCAGGAGACCGTCATCCCAGCAAAACATTCCATCCCTTTGACATTATCTTTTAATTAACTTCGCTCCAGCCCTTTGTGCATGTGCCTCAATGTCAGTCCGGCATACCTTTTACTCTTTGTCCCTAACCAGCTAATGCTGGATGCTCAATTAAAGTTCTAGTGTCATTTGGCTCATTAGCTCCAAATACGTTATTTCATTTTCATTTAACTCCTAAACTTAAATTAAAAAACACATTTGCAGACAGGTTTCCTCACTTGTTGGTGTGGTAAAATTGTGGTTCAGGTGCATTCTGCCATTTAGCAGTCACATCCAAACTTTGACACCCACACTTCTCAAAATGGAACGTTGATTCAACCATTAATTTTTCACCCAAACAACAGCAAATGAAAGAACCTTCTCTTTGTTGGCTCGTGGTGGCATTTGTTGCTCTCATTTTCCTCCTGTGCCCCAGCAGTTAGACAATTCTCACCTGCAGAGCAACCACAGCAAGCTCCTCAAAGAGCTCCCTTTTCTCTCTGCAGCAGTGGCACAGACGTGCTTGCTCTCTTGGAGACACCTTATGGAATTGCTCTGAATGTTCAGAACAACCCTTCACTCTACCTGCAGGATGATTATTTTTGCCATCTACCTGTAACATGCACCTGTTTTGTGCAGGACGCATGATTTAAAATATTCTAAATTAGAAAATACTCCTTAGAGTTTCTCTGCATGTATTTGAGCATTCAGCAGTTGTTACTGTCAATACTGCAGCAATATTGGCAGGAGCAGAACTGCAGCCGTGGACACAACACCCTGCAAGCCCTCCGTGGGCACAGCCCTCATTCCAGAGAATGAACCATCCAGCTGTGAAAACAGTTACACTTCATTACTGAAATGAGTGCTGCCACTGTCACTTAAACCAGTAGCAGTTTTTAAACAGTCATACCAGGCATAATATTATTGTTCAGTCTCATCATAAACCTCCTTATGAATTAGCCCCAAAATACACACAGAAATGACCACTCTGGATTTTGGACATGCGTGGAGATCCAGCACTCTACCAGCAGAATTTTCAAGACAAGTGGATTAGGAAACATTATGGCATTGTAAAAAACAAATAAACAAAATAGAGCGTAGCAAATGATTACATTTTCAGTTCACTCTCAAAAAGTTTCTCAAGGAAGACATGGAGTTCAAATGTTTGGGGTTTTGTTTGTTTGTTTTTGTTTTTTTTTAATGTTGCAATGTTCAAAACAAAGTAAAATTTTAGAAGTCAGCCAATCCTTAAATTGTTTGAAATATGCATAGGTGAAATGCTTTGATCTAAAAAAAATACCACAATCAAATAAGAATCTTTTAAGTTCATATACATTCACAAAACGTACTGAATAGCTGATTCCATGCTTCCTGGTGAAAGGTATTTCCTTTAAAAGTTCCCCTGAGTTGTAACCTTCAGTTCTCAGGTTACAAAAGCAAGGCAACAAACAGAAGTCAGCAGAAACTCTGAGGATATGACTGAAATCTCCCAGAATAAAAGCACGTAACTAAAAAATAGTTACAGATTACACAGACACACAGGCTTCTCTAATTTCATTTTTCAATCCTTCAAAAATTAGGACCCAAATGCATTATGAAAGTGAGAAAATTAAATACAGCCCAGCTTATACAGTGTATTGATGTTATTTTCAGACTGATAGCTCTATTTCTGCAAGACAAACTTACAAGACAACAGTTGTCTTGCAAGACAATTTACCCCTGCTCAGTTCTACTTCTGTAGACACAAAGTACAACTCGAATGGTTTTGACAATATTATGGATAACAGTGGTGTCCTGTGGTAAGGGAGTTTATTAATTACTGCATACTCGAAAGCACAGACATATCATTGTTATAATAAATAACCAGCAACTTATTAACTCAAGGTTGGTCTCTTTAGTTTGCTCTTTGTCATCCGGGAGATCATTCATTTCATGTTAAAAACCATAAAAAACACCTTTGGGAAGGGAAGAGTTCAAAGGGAAAAACTTCATAATGTGGTTTCAGATTGAAATTCTTTTATTTTTCCCCCTTTCAGATAACAACCCTGGTCTTCCCAGGAACTCTCTTCTATTGATGTGATTGGCCTCTTTGAAGGGATCCCCTTGTGCAGATTCATTTAAAGCAGGGTACTGGAGTCCAACTTACTAGGAAAGCCTTACTTTGGGAAATAGAAAGATGTGTCTGAACATTGTCCTGTAGGAAAGAGGCTGCCTGGTCAGGCCACCAGTATCTGTATTGGTTTATTACATCTGCCCATGTAATGTGATGCGTATTTAGGAGAATGAGGAAAATTGGCAAATGATCTCCTTTTGGAAGTGACAGCAAAAACCCTTCATTAGTTTCTCAACCTCAGGCAGAACAGAAATTGACTTTAGTTACAATGTTTCATTTTGGTGAAATGACTAATATTGACGAATGGTAAAACACAATGATTTTTTCCAGATTAAAAAACAATGAAGTTAGAGACAAGAGTGACAGCAAAACCATGATAATGTGAGACTTGGGTCTGCAGATCCAGTTATCCATAATCTGCATGTGATTAATCCTTTGGGTCATTTGCAAATTACTGCACCTTACAGCACTATTTTAGCTTCCTACAAACTGTCCTGTTACTGACTGCAACGTTCAGAGTTGGAGTAATGCAAGAGATGGAATAATTCCAGTCGGTTTGACCAGAGCCAGACTCATAGGTGTCCCCCTCCTCTACATGGAGGCATCTTGCCACCTCCAACATCTCTCCCCCATTTCTCGTCATGGCAACGTGAGCTCTGTTGAGGGAAAAAAAAAAGAAAAGCAATGTGCCAATCTTCAGTGACTGCTTCAGCTTCAATGCTTAAAAAAAGCATCTGTTCTTTTAGGGGCAAGACATCATCCAGACAGAAATACGAGACATCACAAATAATACACTGTCAACTATTTTGAGCTTAAGCTTTTGAAACAGGTAGTATTAAAAAAAAAAAAAAAAAAGTGTACTGCAGATAGGATGAAATGGTTGGAAAGAAACAAAAAGAAATGAGAGATTTATTCTCACTGGAACTTTTTTGTTTTTAATAGATATTTGTTAATTAAAATTTCTGAGAAACTCATCTAATGTTTTCCAATGTTGAGAACCTGTGCTTCTTTTATCTCTTTGATCCCGAGGGCTTTGATCTGCCATGTGATGACATGACTGAGATCAGACATTTACTTTCACAGTATGCAGAAAATGTGGAATTATTGATTCCGATAATCCAGCAGAGCAGACAAAGGCCTGTGCTTTTTATAGCTCAGAAACTGATACAGTTCTCTTTCCTCACTGTGGTACTGAACAGCTGGAAATGCAAGGCCTGAAAGCTCCTTAAAGACAACATTATTCTTCTCACATTCTTATCTTTGCTGTTTGAGTCCTTCTCCCTTGCTGAATTACATCTAACTGAAATCCTCTGGTTTTAAAACAATAGAGTATGATACCACTAGCCACCACTTCATGCCTTTGGAATCATATCTTCATGATGAGAGACACAGGCTATTACAATAGAATTCAGAAGATACAAATCCCAGCAAAGATTTGTTCCAAGAAGTCCTTAAATTGCATTTTCAAATTCACGGGAGTGACTCAGCTTAGAGCCTTAAACCAACCACTGAAAGAAGCCTGAGGCTTAAGTCACTTTCATGCAGTGTAAACATCAACAAGTCAGTACCAAAATGGAGAAAGCTGTATTGAGTACAGTGAGGTGCTCTCTAAAGTAACAAAAGTTTTCAAAGAAGAAATCAGAGGCCCCTTGAGAGGTGCAGCAAGCTACTTCGCAGGGTGGGCAGGAACACAGAGGAAAAACACGGTGAAGTTAATAACACATTGTCTGTTGTCTCTGAATAATAATTAACATGGTCCACTAAGTGCATTTAGTTTAGTTTAGTTTAGTACCAGTTTTTAAATGCTTTGATGACATGATTGATATGTAGTCACTGTATAATGTATAACAAAACAAAATTGCTCTGTCATATCTTCCCATTTTCCAATTACTCTGAACAGCAATACTTTCAGGCATCTGGTAGTCAGCTAGTGATAGAAGTTTAGCATACACTGACAAAATGCTTAGAAATATAGTTTTCTGCATTCTACCAAGAAAAGATTGCATTTCAGATTTCAGGACTACTTTGTGTTGTTGATGGCCTCATGTACACTCCTCATTAATCAAGTAACAATTGCTACCCCTTCTCAATGCCACTGCTATAATAACTGCCTAGTAACAATGCATTAGTACTTAACCAAATATTAAAAAAAAAAAGAAAGAAAGAAAGGAAATGCAGTTTAAGGAATATCTCTAAAGATATCAGTAAGTAGAAGAGAAACACTGCCACTAGAATAAAGTCTAGGAGGAACCCCTAGAACAAAAATCACTTGAAAAAACAATCACAATACTAAAATAAGTCCTTTGCTTACAAATTAAAGCCAAGCACATAAAACATAGCCAGGAGCATGGATGTTCTGATACTCATAGCACAACTAATGTCTGGAATGATTAAGAGAACTCTGGAGTCTCAAGAGAAGACAACAGTTCAGTGGAGCACATGAGGTTTGTATCATCAGAACAATCATCACAAGGCATACTGGAAACATTAGTGTTGGACATAGGAAGCAGCAAACCAGCTTCTGGCAAGTTCTTCACAATACAAGGAATATCAGTAATCACACAGAGGAAAAAGTTGTCACACCCAACCAACCATAGGGTCCCTAGCTGCAGAACACTCCTTCTCCAGCAGTAGCCTTTGTCCAAGAGCCATTCTTTATTCAGAGGCAGGCCCTTCAATGAGCCCAAGGAGGGATGGACTCACGGTCCACCCCTTCCAGTCACGTGGAAAGCACCTGAATGGAAAGCACCTGAACTGCTTGCACCTGTGCTTCCTGAGCCAGCCACCGCCTTCACCATGTGCTTTATCATCAGTTCAGCCATACATAATAGTTTCCCTACAATTTCCAAATCCATTAACCACATCGATATTTTTATACTTCTGTGCTAGCTTTAGATTCATAAATTGCAATGAAGTAATGCCATAAGAGATATCTTAAAGGAATGTCAATGTCAATATTTACTTGAGCGCAGACAACAAAAGTAAAGGAACTACAGAAATAGGAGAAAGTACACAACAACCCTACCAGATACCTTAGCCTTTTTCCAGGCTTCAAAGGCTGTATTAGCTCTGAACTATTCAGAAATTCTATTTCAGAGTCAAAGGCCTTCAAATAAAGTCTCCCACAGGCACCATGAAAAGTTTACACATTTGGATAGGAATATCTTGCCATAAGTAGACTGAACCTTTTTAATTTGTTCTCATCATCAGAATCAGTGTTGCAAGCAGGAGCAGAGAGGTGATTGTTCCCCTATATTCAGCACTCATGAGGCCGCACCTCAATTACTGTGTCCAGTTTTGGGCCCCTCACTGCAAGAAAGACATTGAGGCCCTGGAACGTGTTCAAAGTAGGGCAACAAAGCTGGTGAGGGGTCTGGAACACAGGGCTGATGAGGAGAGGCTGAAGGAGCTGGGAATGTTCAGCCTGGAGAAGAGGAGGCTCAGGGGAGACCTCACTGCTCTCTATAACTTCCTGAAGGGAGGCTGTAGTGAGCTGGGGGTCGGCCTCTTCTCTCGTGTCATCAGTGATAGGACCAGGGGGAATGGCTTCAAGCTACGGCAGGGGAGATTCAGGCTGGACATGAGGAAGTATTACTTTTCAGAAAGGGTGGTCAGGCACTGGAATGGATGCCCAGGGAGGTGGTGGGGTCACCGAGCCTGGGGGTGTTCAAGGAAAGACTGGATGTTGTGTTGAGGGACATGGTTTAGTGGGAGCTATTGAGAATAGGTGAACGGTTGGACTGGATGATCTTTTAGGTCTTTTCCAACCTTGGTGATTCTATGATTCAAATATCACTGTGTGACTTAGAGATGAATTAACATACAATCAGACTCAAACTATATTAGGCATCATAAATTAATATCAACATTGTGAAGGACTTGTTTTAACAAACAGGTAGCTAATATAGTCCAACACATTAAGGCTGGTAGGAGAAAACAGATGTTTCAGTTGCTGAGTGGTTATGATGCAATGCTTCTAAGAATGTAGGAATGGTAAAACATATTGGAATAAGGCAAAGCCGCTTCTCAGTTAATTGTTCCACATCACACCATCCAAGTAAGCTGTGGTTATTGATAGAAAAAACTAATCTGTTACACAGTGTTTCAAAAGCAAAGCAGTATATACAGCAGAATGGTAGGGATATTCACTTTACTTGTAAAAAGGTGAAGAACATTCCTGTCACATTGATAACAATCCTTACAGGACTTCTTAAATTCCCTTTTTCAGTCTTCAAGCAACGTTTTTATAAAATGAACTCCACTGGCATTGATCCAGAACTGGATATACTGCTCACAGAAATTAGAGAAAGCAGGCAAGGCTCTGCAACAGCTTAACTACTAAAGGAAGCTAGAAATCTTTGAGGCAAGGACAAGCCCAATCAGCAAGGAGATAAAGAGCCAAAGGAGCACCCACATTAGCTCTGCATGCAGGGCATGATTCTGGGGTGCTCTGTGGGGTGGCTGGAGCGGCTGCCAGCCAGAACTTACACAAAATCCAGCTGGGGCAAATTCTACTGCTTCACATTCCCAGAGCTGGGACAAAATCTGCATTTATTTTCCTCAATAAAAATCAAATAAATAGAAATCCCAGCATTTCCTGGCCGTACTGCAATTAAAAAAAAAAAAAAAACAAACACATATGCAAAGGAACACTTTATATATACATATTATTCACATATATAAAGAGATGATAGAAGTATAATGGGGACAAATATAGACTTCGCACATCCTGCTCCAGTCAAAGTTTAAGAAACACTTTGCTTGTGGGAAAGTGTCAAAGTCAGGGCTCCTTCATAGCATTCACAAAGAGAAATTCAGAAAAAGACAATCCTCTTCTGTTTTCCACACCATCTGATTAATTATCATAATTGAAGTGAAGCAAAACCATGGTTTTTTAACCATCCCAACAAAATTCTTCTTACTGTGTAGGGAGCAGCTCATTTCTTACTTTTATTCCGCAGGAAGTTATTTTGACAAAGACGTGCTGATCACATAACATAGCAGTAATAAACCTCCCTCATTTCTAACGCTAATAGGCTGCTCATCTGTTGAAGCATGGCAATGACCAGCAATTAGCAGCCTTCTCATTTAGCTGCTGTGATTACACCCATTCTTATATTAGGATGGCATTAATTGCAGCTTATACCATCTTGATTTGTGGCACATGGTGATTAAATGCAGCAGCAGGGGGTGGTAGTGGCGGCGGTGGCTTTTCTTACTTCTTTCACCACCAGAAATGCAGGGAAAAAGCAAAGTAAGACAATGGCTGAGGCAGTCCAGCTCCCTGACCTGCTGTGTGCTGCAGATTTCCATTTCTTCTTCCTACTCAGTCCCCCTTTTCTCTAATCAGCAAAACTCATGAGAGTATTTGTTGCTCTCTCAAATTTAACAATTATTAATTTGTTCTTAAAAAATAAGGGAGTAACTAAAAAGTAAGTTTTGTATGGTTGCATGGTTCAGTCCTGGCCTGAACCACTGATTGAGCATGTGGGGAAAGGACCCGGTCAGCCTTAGGAGCACAAGTGAAGGCAATTCAGCTGTGTGTCAGGAAGCCTGGCTGCACCTCTCTTAGATGTCGTTGAAGGGCTGACTGCTACTGGGGAAGGATCTCTGGCTGGAGATTCCTTCTTGGTGAAGGGAACCTGCAAACATGGAA